TCCAATAATTGCTTTCGTGGTTCTTATAATATCCTGAAAGTTCAGAAAAATGATCCTAATCTGATACGAAAAAAAAAACAGTTTATTTTATGATTTTTTAATTTAGACTATTCAGTTAACAGACATCATGAAGTCTTATCTTTTGAAAAATCTACATATGTGTGCTCATGCATATAGAAGGAAATTGTTATCTTTTTAATATAGAAAATCAGTTAACAAAGTTTTTCTATTTTTAGCAATTAAAGTACATCGTTAACTTTTGTTTTGTTTTTCTTAATATACATAACAAAAATTGTTTGCTACAAGTCGCGATGGAACTGTCGAAGATCATTACACTGAAATTGCCTATCCCTAGCTTTACATCTATCACTCTCAACAGTTGTACTATGATTTTAGGCAATCAGTACTATTTTATTAGAAAAATGAACAATATCTAACATGAAAATTTTTATGTCTTGATTCAGTTATGATAAACCATTTCTGATATAACTCCGTACTAAGAATGTCAATGTTATTTGATAACGGATGAAATTAGATTATTTTTGACATCATGTTATTCTGAATGAATAGTAGTCTTGTGTCGCTTCTGTTTCATTTGTAAATATATATTTCATATTGATTCTAACAAAATTTTATTTTACCGGCAGATTCTGTACCTATGCAAAGTTTAGTTACAAAAAATTTCCCTTTGAAAACTCTAAGATCTGTACTTGTTGTTTTTTTTTGTAATAGTCTCATAATATTCAAAAACAGATCAAGAATATAAAAACCTAATGGGGCAACATTAGATCAGATTAACATACGGCAAGTATTTCTTCGATTTCTCACTTTGTATAATTTCGATAGAATTCCTCTGAATTCGCGTATTTATAATGCTCAAATTAATTTCATATACATCTTTAGATATATGTTAACAAATCATACAAAACACAAACCTGGCCATCGGTTTGATCGAGCATAAACAAATGTATATTCAGGAATAAGAGTAGAAGTCATACCAATGGACCATGCAGGATATAATCCGTGGATTGGAATATCTTTGCTAATAGAAGATAATAAATGAGGACCTTGTTCAATAGACATTTTTTGAATAGTTGATTTTCCTTCTTCTTGATTTTCATTATGTTCTTTGGATAAAAACGATTAAATTAAATACGAAAGTTTGATAAACTTACGATGAAAATATAGATTTCGACCTTGTTTATAAATATATGCAACATCTAGAAAAAAACAAATTTTATTAAGAAATTTTTATTTTTATTTTTCTTACAATGAACCCAATATTGACCATGAGATAAAGCAAGATCTTCAAGTCTATTTCCTTCAAAGTTAGTATTTATATCAAATTTTATTTGATTTACTAAAATTCAAAAAAACATTTGAGTTTGTCATATGATTCTAACTATCCTACGATCCATTGTTTCTTCACCCATTTCTTCTTCATTTTCTTCATCATCATCATTAACTGAAATTTTAAAATAATTTTTCGGTCCTATCTATTATGAAAGCAAAAATAAAATACAAGGAAAAAAAACAATAATAAGAATGTACCTGAGTACCAGCAGTAATTCGTTGAATTTGTGCACGTAATAAATGTTTTTCACTACCTGGAAAATTGAATTCACATATAACAGGTGCTTCAAGATTACCAGTAAAAAATCGTTGAATTCTACGAGATAATTCAATTTGTTCTGGTGTTACCATTGGTAATTGTACAAAAGGTTGATTAACTAAGAAAATCGTTGAATAAAAATAAAAATTCTCAAGAATATTCTTTACTTCCAGTTGATACATAAAAAACTTTTTGATTAACACCATAACCAAGTTGTTCAGGTGGTACTTTTTCATTGAAACTTAACATGGTATCATCAAGTTCATTTTCTTCTTCAGATGAAAAAATTTCTTGATATTTAACAAATTCAACATCATTTAGATCAATATTATCAAATGTATCAAAATCAGTTTCAACAATATAATAATTATTTTTTATACCAAAAATCTTGCCCCAAAAACGTAGTTTTTGAATGTTAATTTTTTCTTTTAATAAAATTTTCATTGAAAGCCAAATCCTTTTGAACAAATAAAATTTAGATGCAAAATTTTTAAATTATAATATATATATATTTTTTTTTTCATACCAATAGATTTCATCTTTATTTAAACCAATACCAATTTGTTCAAATAAAAAATCTAATTCTAAAATATTTGTCATTGTTTCTTCAGGATTACCTTGAATAATAGAACGATCCTAAAGAAAAATAAACTATGATAATTTATTTTATTTTCTACTTTTTTTTTATACAGAAAGAAAAGTAAGTTGTTTTTGTGCAAATAAATAAGATTCTTCTTGATTATTGATTGATAGTTCTTGTTTTTTTTCATAAAATATTTTTGAAAGTTCTTCAAATATTTTATATGATTGTTTGGGATGATAATCGAAAAGATAACGAAGTGTATGTATCAAATTGTCATATATATTAATTCCAATTAAAGTTTTATGATCAAAAATTTCTTTTAACATATCAGATGGTATTTTTGATGTTTGTGATATGATGGAATAATCTTGTTCTTGATCAATATTTTTGTAAATATATGTTTCTATTTGTTATAGAATAGAGATGTACATTATAGGGATATTGTACAATAGGCAATATACAAAAAAAGAATGAGATTCGTAAAAGAACATTTCCAGTGAAAATTACCCTAACTTTTTAGAGAACCCTTAGTTGAATAATTATGCATACTTTTGTTTCAAAACAAAAGTTTTTCATATAGAATAATACTAAAACAAGAGCTCTATGATTTATGCTGTAGGTCTTTCTACTTTCTTTGGAAAAAGAAAAACTTTTCTCTAAGATGGCAGAAAATTGGTCATTTTTCCCAAACCTTTTAAGAGTTAGAATGATTTTTTTTATGTTAAAAAAGTATAACTTAATTTAAATAAGATTATCCAGTGCATTTTGTTCGGAAAGTGACACAAATCATTTTTTAATCATTTATCTTTACTTCGTATTCATTCAATTACGAATCAAGACGTGTATTAATGAATTGTCAATAGTCATATATCGAATAATTCTCACCTAAATCAATATATAATTCTGGATGCCAAACTATTTCACATGTAAATGGAAGTTTTTTTTCGATTATTAATGAATAAATATTTTCGTACGATAATTGTGTTACATCTTGTTCGTTTAAAGTAACTAAACGATCACCATCACGAATATTCATATCATACCAAATACTAGTTGGATTAACATTTTTGAATAAATAAGCAAAAATTTCTTTATTTTTTTTTATCAACTGAATTTTGTAACATATTAATGTTACATCAGAATTTTGAAATTTATCTAATCATATAAATAATAAAATGTATTTTATTTTTCAATGATATACTCACTTGGATCAACTATGATTTGTTTTTGATTTTGATCTAATGGTAATTGAAGTAGATGATTAGTTTCCAATTTTACAAATACATCTAGATCAATTCAACTAAATTAATTTTCCTATTTAACAAAAACATATCATACTTTTAAATTCCATTGATTATTTAACGCAAGTTAATATTTCTATTATCTAAAGTAAAACATATATTTACATATACGTATAGTGATTAGCAAGTAAAAGCTGCTAGTGCAACGTATGCGGTATCGAAATATGAAATACGATGTAGCCGTAGTTCCTAATCACAGAGGGAATGTTTTATTCTATCTTCTTTAGGAAACATTTCGTCATCATGTTTAAACATTAATCCTCCAGAAATTCAAAAAGAAAGTACTTAAAATATTACGAAGGATGTTTGTCACGTCTACAACTATAATCAATTTTTATTCGATTTTTTTTTAATACGAGCTTCTTAGGAGAAGCACAGATCAGATTATTCGAAAAAAAATCAGTGACGAAGTGAAAGAATCGGAATATGACGAAAACTTGTTTGAAATATTAAGTATGCTATTTCATGCAAATTGTGTCGCTGATTCTAATTACGAATTCGTATTTATGGCGTTTTGCTGTCACAACAACTTCAACATTAGAAGTAATTCGACTTGTTCTATCGAATCATGATATAAAAAAAACTGGGCTCAATATTCAATTTGCCGGGACCTTACACAAAGAGTTAATAATTCACGATATTTGGTTCTATCGAACAGTGTTCGATATCAGATAATTTAATTATAAAATAATCAAAAAATTTTATCATATTTGTTTGTTTAAATTCTTTTTTTAGATTGATAATCTTCATAAGAAAAATATATACAACAATGATAAATGTAAACATCTATAGTTATAAACATGTAAAAATTCCATGATGTTGATTATATTTAAATACTGGATAAGAATATCAAGAAAATATATAATAATAGTAACTATTTGTCAAAACAAAATCATGATTTATTGTTTATTTATATAATCACATTCAATCAGAAAAATAGTGATAATCTTCTACATGGTCAGTACATACATCATTTCAAAATGTTAATAACAAAGATATATTGAAACTTAATTAGTGATGTCTATAATGAAATCCAATCAAACACCATGTTTGTTTTCTGTTACTAAGAAGACACAAGAAAATTAAGTTCTATTAAATTAAAAGGCTAAAAACTATAGTTTTTCTACGCAAAAATCGATATTTCAAAAGACTCAGTCATATATAGATGTGAATTTATTTATCAACTGATCTCATACAAAACCATATTAGTGACTAAAATACTTTGAAGGGACTACAACAACTTTTTGATAACAGAGAATAGATAGAAAGAGTCTTTTTTTAATGTTAAAAAACACTTCCAAGATCTAAGTGACTTCCTAACTCTTATCTTTACACTCTCTCAAAAAGGGTGTGGGTGTGGGATGTGACTGTTGATGTGAGTCTTCTCTTCATTCACATCCACACCCACACCCCACACCCAATTACAATTCCACTTATAGAAGTTATTGGTGCTCCATGGAGAGACAAAGATTTTGTTGATTTAACTATTGGTCGATATCGTTCCATGGGTATGGAACCTATTCGACTTAAAAAAGAAGTCGATGTTTTTGTTCGTAATCGCCTTCAATATGCTATTTTTTTTCTATCAGCACTTCAACTTTTTCAAGATGGAATTGTTGAACTTGAAGATGTCGATCTGTCAATGGTCATTTGTGAGACTATTTCAAACAATTGATCTTGATACTCCAGTAGGCGTTATTTATTCTAGCATATCAATTCTTTTTTTTTTCTAGAAGAAAAGAAACTGATTGTTTTTGCTTCCTAAATACCGATTTTGATCGATATGATTCAACATTACAACGTGCTTTAACTGATATGAATATTCCGTCAGATTGGACACAAGAAACAGTTGAAAATTTTGTTAACTATTTTCGTTCCAAATATGCAATTGATGAAAATGGAAGTGGTTTAAATGATAAAAAATTATG